AAAAAAAAAAAAAAATCAGCTGGGTGTAGTGGGACACACCTATAGTCCCAGCTACTTGGGAGGCTGAGGCAGGAGGATCACTTGAGCCAAGCTATGATCACACCACTGCACTCCAGCCTGGGTAGCACAGTGAGACCCTATCTTGAAAAATAAATACATACATACATAAATGAAGTTAAAAAAAAAAAAAAGAAGAAGAAGAAGGTAGTGGTTGGGGAGCACAGACGCCCTGGAGGATGTTCTAGCCACTGAACGGAGACAGACACGTTGCGGCTGCAGGCTCTCCTGACAGAGGCAGTTGTGGTCTGCTGCTGTGTGGGTCCGGCCTCCCCTGCTGGACTTTGGGGCCAGTGTCTCTGTGGTGTTCATCTCTCCCTGCGGCGCTGGGCTCAGGGCACTGCTTGTGGCGGATGTTGAGAAATGAGCCACTGGACTCTTTTCATTCTTCTCCCCACCCAGACCCATTCTTCAGGGTGACAGCCAAGAATGAGGAGCAGGGACAGGAAGGTGTGTCCTGCCTAAGCAAAGTCTACGTGACCCTTCCCGAGACCACCATCACCCTGCTTAAGGGCAGACGTACTCTGGTGAGCCCTGTTCAGCCCCCACCATCCTTGCAGGGTCTCACTGTGTGTCCTGGCTGACTCTTCCAGGCCCTGATCCCTTCCATGGATGGGATTCCACAAGACAGTGGCCTGCAATCCCAGCTCCTTGGGAGGCTAAAGTGGGAGGATTGCTTGAGGCCAGGAGTTTGAAGCCAGCCTGGGCAAGATAGCAAGACCCTGTCTCTTTAAAAATAGAAAAAATTAGCCTGGTGTGGTGGCACTTGCCTATTGTCCCCTCTACTCCAGAGGCTGAGGTGGGAGGATTGCTGGAGCCTGGGAGGTCGAGGCTGCAGTGAGCTGTGATTGCACCATGGCACTCCAGCCTGGGCAACATAGTAAGACACTGTCTCTTAAAAACAAAAACAAGGCCGGGCGCGGTGGCTCAAGCCTGTAATCCCAGCACTTTGGGAGGCCGAGACGGGCGGATCACGAGGTCAGGAGGTCGAGACCATCCTGGC